TTCTGTTTCTGTGCTGCCTTGTGGCCTTGCCTGTCTGGTCTCCTCGGACTGGAGCAGGATTGCCTCTCATTACATACAGGTTAGTCTGAACTCCTCCCATGTGCAAATTGGTCCAAATTTAGCTGTGCTGATGCTGGAAAAGGCAATGCAGAGGGTCTGGATAGGACAGGATTGTGTCTGCCAAGCAAAACAGAGTGAGAAACTCTACTGTGACACTGATCTCTTTTGGCAGAGCAGGGACAGTGTGGTGCCCCCATGGCCTCCACAGCACTCTTATTTCTAAAAGGAGTGTGCCAAAACTATAAACTGTTATGCATTTTATAGCCCAGCCTCATGTGCCACAGCCCCACACAATGTATCCCAGATCTCTCCTAGAGTGTAGGGTGGTGAGGAGTAGAGGATGAAACTGAGTTTTGTTTCTTCATTCCTTCCTTGTGCCATTTTCAGTTCCTTTTTACTCCATAGAGTATCACATTGGAGCAGAACCACCACAGGAGGGGGATTGTGTGCAGGAGAGGACTGCACCAGGAGGAGTTAGGGACTCTAATACAGAAATGGTCCATGTATCCCGAGATTCTTCTGCAGTCCCTATGGTGGGGTAGAATACTGCACAATAGTGAGGTACTGTTTGGAATCATATTGCTCCCTAAAACAAACGAGAGAGATACACATATCCGTACTTCAGATGCATCCAAGCAGACCAGTGTTCCATTGTTTACTAGAACTGCTGCATTTGGCAGTGCTGGAGTTTTCCTAATATTCAGTCCACTTGACCATCATTCACAGGGACTATTGTGCCCTCAGCACTTAAGCATTTGCAGAATCAGAAGCAATGGTAGAGACAGTAATTCCAAAATAGTAACTGTGAAACATAATGCTTGTGTGCTTTTTTGGTATAACTTTATCTTCTAGGCCAGAGATCTGTACAGTGAATCTAAGGGTCCCAAACTGCTGTCAAATTCTTTAGGAGATGGTATACTCCTGCACTGTGGAATTTCTATTTTATTCAGTATGCTTTTTTAAACAACTGTGGTGGTTTTACCATGCTGGGCAGCTAAACCCCACAACCGCTCTCTCACTCCCCCTCCTTTAGATGAGGAGGGGGAGAAGTAAAGCAAAGAACAACTCACGGGTTGAGATAAGGATAATTTAATTAAAGGGAAATCATTATAATGATTAAATAAAGACTACCATGAACTAAACAATTTAACTAAGGGGAAATAAAAAGGGAAAGGGGAAAAGGGAGGGGAAAATGGAAAATAAAAAGAAGGGAGGAAAACAAACAAACAAAATAAATGAAAGCTATATGGAAGTGCAGAGGAAAGAAATTAGTCTCTACTTCCCACAAATGAGCGATGATTGACCACGTCCTTGAAGCAAGGCCTCAACGCACGCAGCCGGTGTTTGAGAGGAGGAGCGACGTCTTCTCAACGAGAGCCCACCCCTCCCCTCCTCTTCCTGTTTCCACCTTTTATTGCTGAGTGTGACATCACATGGTATGGAATATCCCTTTGGTTGGTTTAGGTCAGCTGCCCTAGTGATGTTTCTCTCCTCACTTTTTGCCCATCCCCTAGGAGGGTTAGAGAAAGGCCTAATACTGTGCCACTGCTGCTCAGCAGTAGACACAACACTGGTGTGATAACACTGCTGTTCCAGCTACAAGTACAGAGTACGGCACTGTATGGGCTGCTGCCAGGAAAGTTAATATTCCAGCCAGACCTGGTACAACAACAATGGGGGTCATTAATCTTGTGATGGAGAGAGTTCAAGAGCTGCCCCTGGAGCATTACTCTGTGCTATCCCTTGGAATGTGTTGGGTGAGAGAGGTTTTGTGGTTCAAAAAAATAGTCAGGAACTATCTTTCTTTCCCTTCTCTTTGACCTTCCCTGCATATGTTTATTGACCTTGAACCTCTGAAAGTCCTTCAGTCCTGACTTTCTTACCAAACCTACCCATGCTTTCAATAAGGACTGTGTATGGGTAAGGTGCAAGTACAGCCCCTCAGGAGGTAGTCCTGGAGACAGAAATCAGCCAGATGTCTTCTTAGACATTAATACAGTTACTACACTGGTAAGACACTCTCTTTCCGAGAGTCCTTTTTAATTCCCAATGTTTCCGTTAGATAAGGCTGTGCAAAGGGATATCTGAGAGAGACATGAGATGAAAAAGCTCCTCTATATGGCAGGAAAGAGCACACAAACTGAGAAGGACCCAAAGTCAGCTTGCACAAAAATACTTCTATTTGTAAGATTTGTGTGAGAAGAGTATGTGGTCGGTGCAGCCACTGGTCTGCATCAGCTGCGTGAGCAGTGGGATGCTTCCAGCGACATTGTGCCTGGGGAACCTGCAATGAATTATTTTCAGTCTTGAGAATTAAATCAAATGAAAGATGTTGCTGGACGTTGAGTCCATACTGCAGGTGCTGTAACTGTGTGAGCAAGTCATTTTGGTGGTGCCAGTAAGGTGGCTGTAAGGAACTGGAAATAAGTATGTGTTCATTGGAATTGTTACAAGTCTCATTCCTTAGTGAAAAAGACAATTCTGTAAGCACCCACCATGTTGGAGAAGAACTCAAGATAACTCAGAGATAAAACAGGCATATCAATTTTTCTGTTATATCCATGAACTTTAGTGTTTTCATTAACAGGATTTAGAGCTTTCATAGAAAGCTTTACCAAACACTGAAGTGTTTCCATGTGATGTATGGAGGGATCCAGTCCCTGTGGTCGCAGAAGAATAGGCATGCCTGTGCTAGTTTCATTACGATGGGAATTTCATTTAGTACATTTCTAGGCAATAGGATAACAACAATAAGAACATGTGCCTTTGGATTGGCTAATGTGTGAGAGGTTTTTCCCTTGCATCCTAAGCTGGGATCAACAAAAACTAAATATCAAACAGCAAAAAAGTAACTATCAAATAGCAACATAAGCTGTGAAAGCTTCTGCTTTCTCACATATAAAGCAGGGTGATAACAGATACAGATACAGAGCTGTAAGTTGATTTAATTGAACCTCAGAGAGCAGAAGAGCAGGAGATAGGATTAAATGCAAAGATCTTACTGATTACCACTGTGCTAGCCATAGGTATGCAAAATAGACATGTGAGTCATACACCGTATAGAGTCCCTTAGTATCTGCCTAGCTAACTTGTCAAATTCATGTTGGGTCAGCTGAGTCTCCCAGGCTGTATCTCTGCTTAGGAAAGGAGCTAAAATCTGAATCAACATAGGCACAATCTATGCTGCAGTGTGGAGGTAATGGTTGTCTCGCACTGGACTTGGGTCCATACAGCTGCCTTGCAGCCTGTGACCTGCCTGTGCAAGAATGCCTGATGAGGCATAAACAGAAAATCATTCTTTAGTTCGCTGCTCCTTCAGAGCCATTGTATTCAGTTTTCTCAAACTGCAAAGAAACAGGAAATAGACATTTGGCTCCAAAACCATTAAAAGTCCTGTTTATTCTGGGTTGGAGCAGATTTGGAATTTCACTCAGAAAATGAATTTGTAGAAGGACATAGCATGTTTTTCTTTTTGTTTTTGTTTTGTTTGTTTGTTTGACAGTAATATTAATATGTCTGTCAATGTTTGAATGTTGTGTGCAGATGCTGAAGGTCTGCCTGCCCTCTGGATGTGGCTGCTTGTGTGAGTTTAGTGCAGTCATTTCTGACCATTCCTCCACAATATCAGAAGGCATATCCTGGAAGGAGAATTGCCTCCATGGAATAAATTATTGCATTTCACACATTTTTCCTTGCTTTCTTATATTTCTTCCTTTGAGGGCAATGCAAATAAACAAACAAACAAAATCAGTATATTCCTGGTTTGCCTTAGAGATTAGGGAAAGACAGAGTGAAGCTCTCTACATATGAGCCAGGAGGAAGCTGTTGGGTTCATAGCTGCAGCCCTACGAGGCTGCAGCTGGCAGTCTTTGACCATGTATCTTATTTTCCCAGCTTGGCCTTATTTAGTGTCCCTGGTTGAAAGGACCAGACAGGGCTTCAAGCCATCTTTGTGATGAAACCTTCATTGCTTTTTTCACAGCTGCTGTAACTCCCTAGCTTCCAAGGAACCACTGAAGCCGCTTGGAAGAAGTGATATCACCAGGTGATGCAATGTGGTGCAGTTACTTGCACTTCAGCTTCACCTCTTTCTTTTCCTTGCAGCCTGAACCCCAGCACACTGAGGCTTGGAACTTGAATTGGTGAAGAGATGTACAGCTGAGGTGGCACTTGAACCCTCATAGCAGTTCTGTTTGTGCCTGGAGAGCAGGTGACAGCATGATGCTTATCTCCTGCTGTTCCTAATGGTTTGGATCACTCATGGTGATCTGGATCCTAACAATCAGGATGATAGTCACTGGATGATGTGGATCTGGAGTACATCTGGATCAGTAATGTATGCACTGATAATTACATCCATTATTGGTATATAATCATCATACTGATAAATGTACTTCAGCATGTTGTTCCTATAGGCAACAGGCATCTGTGCAGTGTTTCATCTTCACAATGTCTGAAGGTGATGATGCCCCTGTAAATTAAATTGGGACAGCACCTTTATGACCAGCACTTTGACCTGCCAGTATGTCTACATGAAATGAATGAGAGTGCCACATGCATGTCTTTCTTTCTCAGGCACTTGATTATTCTCTGCTTCAAGTTTTATTGTTTAATGAGAATGCTTCTCTTGGACAGGTCTGGGTGCTCATGGAACATCAAATACAGAGGGGTTTCATTTCTCTCCCAAAGGATGTTCTGTGTACCCAGTGCTCCAAGGGAAGATTTCTAGGGTATAAATCATGTTCTGGATGAAACTAGGACAGATAAGGAGAGAAATGGACTGAAAGTCTTTGGGTGTTTTGCAGTCTTTAGAATGCTAAACCATATGATCTCTTTCCAGATGTGTGTCTGGTTAGACTTTAAATTATCTAGATATCGACTTAAAAGATCGTGTTTCTTTTTCTGTTTTTTTTTTTTTTTTTTTTTTTGGTCCTCGGCAGAAACCCAGAAAGGCAACTACTCAGCCAGGAGAAGATACCTTGAATGGCCATCTTCCCCCAGGCTGGCAGAGCTATATGTCTCCCCAGGGCCGCAGGTACTATGTGAACACCTTCACAAATGGTAAGTGGAGGCTCCAGTAGATGTGTCACTAGCAGCAGAGATCTGCTGCAGGAAGTTGTCTCTCAAGTTAATTTTGATGGCTAGCTACACCTAGTGAGTCAAAAAAATGAATATATGACCCTGCCACCATATGAAGGAAAATAATGTAACTAGATCTAGTGTTCTGGTCCTCTCTCATGTTAATTCTGACTATTAGAACATATCTGAAGCTTTTTTAAAAGACAGGTAATGTAAAATAGAAACAACTCTGCCATAAATGATTCAGAATACAAAATACTGTAATGATTTAATTTGTATCACATTCTTTATTTCTTTTTCCTTCAGCTGCAGATATGTGTATCTATATATGTACATATATGTAGAGTAATAGAATATCACATATTATCTTTAAAGTAAAACATAAATAGTTAATTGACAATTTGCTCAAGTCAGAGGCTTGGAGATAAAAGAAAAGGCTGTGCAATGGGATATCAAAGATAAACTTTTCAGTCTGTATTTCAGTCTTTAATTCACTGTCTTGCTAGTAGAGTAACAGACTTAACTCAAAATCGTATAAACTGCTCAAGAACTGTTAGACTTGTAGCACTTTTGGCTTACACTGTCTACCTGCTCTGGTCATGAGCTTATAACAGCATTGCAAAACAGGGACTTGTGACCAGCAGAACCAGATTTCTGCAGCAGAAAGAGTGACAGGGTAGGAGAGGACAGCAAGAGTTCGCTGTGTTCATAACATAGTCCCCGCTGTGTTCATACCCCGTCCCCATTGCAATTCAGAGGTGGATAAGGTGGTGATTAAGCTCAGTCCTGAGCCAGCATGGCAATGGACCCTTACTCACATGCATTGGCTTGAGGTCGGAAAAAGCAGTAAGAAGCAGAACCTGGTTTTCATGCAATAAACACTCTTGCCACAGTAGCCCTATCCCAGAAAAGGGGATAGCCTGAAATGTTTCCACATAATCTCAGACAGCTTTTTACTATCTTCACAAAATTTACAGATGATATAGGAAGAGACAATAGCCACAGCCTGCTTCAGAAGTCAAGGGAAGGTTGGAAATCAAGTTTTCACTAAGAAGTTGTGGTTTAACCCAGCCAGCAGCTAAACACCACACAGCTGTTTGCTCACCCTCTCCCCTCCCTCTCTGGGATGGGGGAGAGAAATGGAAAGTGAAGCCTGTGAGTTGAGATAAAGACAGTTTATTAAGACAGGAAAATAATAATAACAACAATAATAATAACAATAGTGATGATAATAGTACTACTAATACTGTGTACAAAACAAGTGATGCACAATGCAATTGCTCACCGCCTGCTGACCGATGCCCAGCCTAACTCTGAGCAGCCGGCCCCCCCCACCCCAGCTAGCCACCCCTATATATTGTTTAGCATGACGTCAGATGGTCTGGAATACCCCTTTGGCTAGTTTGGGTCACCTGTCCTGGGTCTGTCCCTCCGAGCTCTTGCTGCACCCCCAGCCTGCTCGCTGGCAGGACAGAGTGAGAATCTGAAACGTCCTTGGCTTGGTGTAAGCACTGCTCTGCAGCAATTAAAACATTGGTGTGCTATCAGCACTCTTCTCATCCTAATCCAAAACATGGCACGCTACTAGGAAGAAAACTAACTCTGTTCTAACTGAAACCAGAACATAAGGCAGGGTAGCCCTGGCAGAAGCAGACCAAGGAGGTGGTAGAATCTTCGTCCTTTGATGTTTTTAGATGGCTAGATAAAGTTGCGGCTGACATTTTCTGTTGTTGGCAGTGATACTGCTCAGAGTGAACAGCTGGGCTAGAGACTTCTCACTTCCAACCTGTCCTGCTATTTGCAAATTCTTGTCTCACCTACTGCAATGGGATTGCTAGGCAGCAAGGAATATGACTTTCAGAGTAACAGAATAGAAGAGAGGATAGATGGGTGTACATGCCCTATGGCATGTACAGGGGCACTGTGACCCTTCCATCACTCCAGTTTAGCTGGTGTTCTTGGCCAGCTCAGTTCCTTTCAGTTTGCTCAGTTAGAATATGCTGCTGCCTGAAAGTTGTCTGTCTGTGTGGATGTTAATGTTTGCTAGTTTTGGCAGTTTTATGATTTTGCTTGGGAGGTTTTTTTTGCTTTAGCTAGGCTCTATTGCATTATCAGATTCACGCTGACAGTGTCTGTGCTTCCTCAAGGTGAATTAGTTGCCAAGAAAGTGTCCCGTCGTGTCATTTAGGCCTCAGACAAAGCAGAAGATGGATGTTCTCTAGAACTTCCTGTTGAAGCATGTGATGAAGTCTCATCCAGCCCTGGATTAAGCAGCTGTCAGTACAGTGTTTTGAGTAAATCTGACTAATTGGCTCTGACCTTTGTCCCTCCAAAACTGGTAGTGCAGGACCATCTGTAGATCGTACAGTCTCATGTTGTATATGCACTTTCTTCCTTGACTGTGCTGCAGAGTTGGAGCTGCTGAGCCATGTAGTCAACACAAAGTCACATTTGGCTTGTGAGGCTTGTTTAACAGTGGGATTGTACCTTAACACTCAGGAAGTATTCTTTGTCTTTAAGTGAAAGCATAAGTAAAAGACAATGTGCTATAAAACTGCAGTCCCCATCTTTGCTGTGTGGCACATCTGTATTGGCATAGTTAATGTTTATAACAAGTTTCAAAGACTGGACATCTCACTGACTACACCTTCTCATTTGTCTTAACTGCTTATTTGTCCTGTAACTGCTGCAGCTGCTGCTGGCAGTATCCAGATAAAGACTGACAATATTTGTAATGAGGACATGGTGCCAGCATACATCTCTCTCACAGTTTCATGTACCTCCTTCCTGTTTTGCCTTCCTGGCACCATTGTTTCAGCAGTAGGATCTAGGTCTCTTTTCCATCAAGGTCTTTTCTTTTGTGTAGATGCACTCCTAAATTGGTCTCCCTTTATTGTAGCTATTACCAAATGATGAATGTATGCTGGAGTGTCTGAGAGAGACATCACTGTTAAGTTTCACAAGTACAGTAACTCAGAGGCCAGTAGCTATATTTCTAGGAAGTAGACATGTTCCTGGTTGGCTTTCAGTTTCATCCATATGGTTAAAGGTGCTTTTCTCACCATTACCAACAATGGCAGCAGATGCAAAACACTTGGCTAGTGAAGTTGTAACCATTTTTCAGATCTCCCAGGAACCAGTTCTCTTTTTATTAAGATGAACAATAAGAAAGTGTTTCAAGACCTCTTCAAAATTCTTCACAAATTCTCTCTCTTTTTTTTTTCATTCTAACATGTGCAGTGGCTTCCACATAACAACTCACAAAGTGGCTGGCTGACTGCTTGTTGTAAAAACAATCTGTAATACCACTATAGGGGTGACAACCACTGTTAGAATATGCATTTGGACTCAGCTGAAAGAGAAGGAACATTGTTAATTCCCAATCAGGAAATACTGTAGACCTTATGTGCATTGCTTTCACAGAGTCTTTCTCCTCTAATTCCGCAGCTGAGATGATCTGCAGGAGACAGTGAGGGGTCAGGGAATAAAACTTCAGGTGCTGATGGCAGTAATGTCTCCTAGGTAGTGTACGAGCACTCCTTTTGCTAGAATGTGCATGCACACTGCACATCTTGACAAACAGTACTGATAACTTGTCCTTGCTGGACAGAGGTCCATCTTCAACAGGTGTGATGAAACGGAAGCTGTTTAGGATATAGCATAGCATGGGAAATAGCAGGTCTGTCCATGAAGACCAGCAGAATATGGATGATGAATGTGACTACAAGAGACAGATTTTAGAGATTACACACCCAACTATTGTTGTTTCTGGTCTCAGCCAGTGCCAGCAATGGTCTATTTATATTAACCTCCTCTGGATGGGTGCAACAAGGCACTGTCGTTAACATACGGACTGTTACAAAATACAAGATTCTGTGTTAAGACAAATTTCATAGTTAAACATGGCAATGAGTCACTAGAAGGAAGAGCAGGGAACTTCTTGTGGCAACGAAGTGTTAAATAATCAGCTAAACAGAGTGGTTCTCACCTATCTGAGGAATAAATAATTGAACGTCAAAGGGAGTGAGGCAGTCTCTATTTAATGAAGACAAAAGCTATCTCCTGGACAAGGAAGGAGTACTGTGAGATTTTGATGCAGGCTTTCTTGTGAAGGGATCTCCTTAGTAGATACAGCAAAGTAAAAGGTATGCTTAGGAAGCTGTGTACCACCCTGCCAGGAGAGGACAGTATTCCAGAGTGATAAGGGAATGAGAGAGAAATTTCTGGGTTATTTTTACTCTAAGTGGTTTAATTGTGGTTTTCCTTTCTTTTTTACTTCTGTCTTTCACAGGCATCTGTAACTGCTTTGCAGAAATTAGATGTTGTGAATAAAGTATAACATTAGAATTGTATGGTAACATAGCTGCACTGGAAGGTAAGTTTTAGACAAATTGATGACACCAAGGCATTGTTCATTGAAGGTTACAGTAGATGTTTCAGTCAGGGGAATCTCAACTAGTACACTTTCTACTCAGTCCTCTCAGAGCTTTCTGCTATGTGGTAAAGAGCTGGCACCAAAGGCATGGATCCTCTGACATGCAGCAAAACACTATGACATATACTTGGATTATAAAGGTTTATAGGGGCCTTGTTACACTGCGGTGTACTGAAAAATGAGTTCTTTTTCTCCTCTATTTGTAGCCTTCTGTCAGAGAGGACTTCAGTTTTCAGTCCCGGTGAAGGCTCTGACTTCAGAGCAGTGTAGGTGTATGTCTCATGTCTCCTGTTACCAGGTTTCACAAAGCTTCCTGTTCAACAGGAAGAAACATGAAATTGTCCTGGGAAGGCCTCTGCAATCGCTGTGATGCACCAAAGGTTCACTCCCTAGCTCCTCTGAAATGTCCTGTGGAGTTTCTTTCAAGTATAGAATTTGGATCAGGATCAGAATCACCCTGTCACATCAAGGGTGTCTCCTCCAGGTGCTGAAGCACCAAAATTGTCTAAGGAGACTGTACAACATTAGCCTTGTTATAGTGGGTTAC